GCCAACTGGCTTTTTTAGTGCCAATCTTACTTTTTAAAATACACTAGACCGAGAAATCTAAAGGATTTATATCAGGTGAACACGGTGCCCACTGTGTAGATGAAACAAAGCACGGAACGTTGTTTTTTTTAGCTATATTCGGTTGGTCGCGCCTTTTGTGAGATGTTGCTGATTCCTGTTGGAGTGTCTAACGCTTGCGACCGAAATGCTCCTCTGCCCAGAGCTTTACAGCTCTCTCTCTAAAATAATTTTCCAACAGATTTTGGCGTTTATTTTTACTCCACGGTCAATGAACATGGGGCGGAGAGCGACTATCTGCAGTTACGGCGGTCCACACTACCACCACTAGCCGATTTTTTTTTTAAATAAAATAAAGGTTTTGAAATATTTTATTAGGAAAGAGTTAAAATTCTTTGAAAAAATAAAATTTTTTTGGAATTTAAACAATTTCGACATATTCTCAAATGAAGGTTGAGTGACTGCAGATTAACGAAAATTTCTTAAATGCAAATCCCAAAATTAAGCATTTTTAATAAATAAATTAAATTAAATATTTAATTTTAAATTTATTAAATCAATACTTAAATTTTATAGGTAAAACTTTAAATTATCTTTTTTAAATTAAACTGTCATTTTTTCAATTTTGTTTAACTTCATATATAAAGGTCTTTTGAACTCCTTGCTACTTGATGAAATATTAATCGATTTTAATCTATCAAGTTTTAATTAATTATGTTAATTTAAATATTAAATAATTTGTACAGATATTGAGTAAAATTGTCTTAAAAATTTTTGTTGAATAATCACATTTTTAAAAACTTTATTTTTATGTCGCATTTCCTATGCCTAATATCAAGTTTTGTAATTCCATGGTTTTGTTATATATTAGAATTGCAAATGAAAATAGCTATTATATGTAAAGAATCGTACCTTTAAGATATTATGTATTGCTCTGTGTTTGTGTAGTTAATGTAAAAAATTGAATGTTTACAAATTTAAAACTCAATAGCTTGCGAAGAAACTATGGCGGTATATAAAAATCGGAAATATTATTATTATGACATATTTTACTTGTTATAACCACAATTCTAGAATTTAGTCTATTCACATATACTTTCCAGACGCCCCTATTACGCTCTAATGCTCTAAGCTCGCTGAATGATTAGTTAGTTTCCTTGTTTATTGATCTTCTCCATGTAATTTTTGGCCGTCAACGATTTCTTCTATCTTGTCGATTGCATTCTAATGCTGAGTGTGCAATTTCACTAACCGGTTTACGTAGGGTATGTCCCAGGCAGCCATATTTCCGCTTCATTATTTGCTTTTCAATCGGCTGCTGATTTGTAATTTTCTATAGCCGCTTATTACATATGGTTCTCGACCACCAAATGTGTAGTATCTAGCAAAGGCATCTGTTAACGTATGTTTGCAGTTTTGTGAGATCGCGACCGTAACAAACCACGATTCAGATCCATATAACAACACACTTTTCACGCAGGCATCGAATACCGTAATTTTAGTGTTTAAATGCAAACTTGTTGAACGCTAAATGTTTTTTGCGAAGTCATATCTAGCGTTCCAAAGTCTATTGGCTACGTCTTGTGAAGTACCACCTTCTACTGTTATAATGCTGCCGAGGTATTCAAACTTTTCGACGTTTTCCACGATCGTATTAACTATTGTGAGCTGGGAGGTTTTAGACGTGTTGATGCGCATGGATTTTGTCTTAGCAATACGAGGATTAGTGTTAAGAAAAAAATCTGAATAGTGCTACATAGAGTATATGTTACTTTATTTCAGTGTCCGTTTAAAGGAGAACGGTACACAATAGATGACAAAATGTTTCACAAAAAATATTTGCAGGAGGTACATTATATACTAAAATGGTACAAAAATAATTCATATAATTTTTATATAGAGGTATAGAGGTTTTCTAAACAAAAATACTATAAATACTATACTATAAATTGATATATAACTGAAGCTATTTAGATGAACAGTTTTTGATATAACTAGAGTCTTTTGACTGCCTTTTATTTATCAGTCTGTGCCTTTGTTTATATTGAAAATGGATATTTTGTGCTCTTTTCTATGATGTTTCTTCGTTTCTTGAATCATATATATGTATATGTTATAAAGTTATTTATTCAATAATTAAACTTATCTTAAAATTGAATATTTGAAGCTGCTGACGCAAGATTAAATAGTTTGTTTATCTTCTGTAATGCTTTGAGCTTTTAACGGCGTTACAACTATTATGCCCCATGCTGAGGCATTATATTATATTATTATTATTATATTTTATTATTCATTAGTATAATAATTATATTATATTATTATTATATTTTATTATTCATTAGTATAATAATTATAAAACCCCAATGAACATACAAAAATTTACTTATCAGAAAAATCAGCAATATTGGTTTCATGTATTATCATCGACAATATTTACTATTTTGTGTCTTCAATGATAATAATCATGTCTTCAATGATAATAATGTGTACATGCTGTAGGTACATATATTTGATTATTATTTTGGTTAATACGAACTATCGAGAAAGAAAGTGTTAAAGACTTTTTAGGGAATCGCTTAGAAGTATCTTCAGTGTCAAAAGTGTTTGGTTGTGTTTTGCATGTGTAAGTTAATATACCGCTTTATTATTTGAAGCGATTAATTTTAATTAAATGAACAAATTTACTACAATTTGTCATATACAGATTGGATTAAGTAAACGATCTGGCGTAAGATAATGTTAAGTATATTTTAATAGAAATAATTTATAAGCTTATTTTGTTATTTAAAAGATTAAAGTTTGTATTATATTAAGTAAATATAATATAATTCATTCATCACTTCTATATGGATGTGTGGCGTTTAGCAAAGCTTCAAACACTACTATTCGCCAGCTAGAAATAGTCAAGCTCAAATGACGAATGACATTCTCAGGAACCTCAAGATTAATACGATCAAAAAATACATAAAGGATAGAGCCTTAAAATTATTTGCGAAATCTGACAGACTTATCAACATCGCGTTATCAAATCTTAGAATGTTTACAGACTCCTCGGGGAGGTATGCAGTTCTGAGGTCAATTATTGCTTAGACTAATGAAGTGATAAACATTAATCCAATCAAAGCGTAAAGAGGGATTTTGAAAATACCTCGAGTTAAGAAAAAGTAAAAGTGCTCAAGTTAGAGTATATGTGCTCAAATCAGTACTCAAATACCTTCAACATAATAATTAAGTAAAATATTAAATTGAATTTTAACGACTGTTTTGTTAAAAGAAACTTAATTCTTAATATAAACTATTGTTTGGATGGCATATAGATAGGTATGTCAAGTATTGCCAAATACCCATCTTCAGTGTTATTTTTGTAAAGATTTCTTGTTTTTAATTATTTGAAAATAATTTTTTGAGACTGTAAGTATCAAGAGTTGAACTCTGTCAAATTTAACCAACTGACCTAAAGCCGCACTTGCTGTGAATTTAAAAAATTAAATGATAAAATTAATTAATTATAATTATATGAATTACATATGAATTAATTACATAAATTAATTAATTACATATATTCTAAATATTATTTTTGTTTATATTTTTATTTAATTGATAAATTTCAATATTCTTCAAGGTATTATTTATTGCTTTTTATTATTTCATTTATTAAATGAAATTATTGAAAATTAAATGAAAATATTAAATACATATTAAATATAAGAATTATTTCCAAGACCTACTGATGATGGGTATTTGGCAATACTCGAAATAGCTGTATGGTCCCCCAAAAATTCAATTAATTAAAATAATACAAAGGAATTTTTGTTGTTGTAGTTCACTACTTTTTTATGTTCTTTTAATTTGCACTAAGTATGCGCAATGCTAAAAATGTGGACCAGTGGAGTTTTAGAATTTTTTAAAATTTTAATTAATTTTCAAATTCATAAAATTATATTAAGGTATGTATTATGGCGTAAAGATATTCCAGTGTACGAGTAATAATAATAGTTGATATTTTATTTTTATAACCCTTACGAAAAAAGTCATTTCATTACTACCGATTGAAACTTTCTGATCTGATGTATAATACGCGCTTTAAATAGTTTATAGATGGAGTTTAACACCATATCAGTTTATTAAACTTTGTCTGGTGTTTTAAATGACTGGAAGATAAACAATATAAGATTGACATAGTAAGTATAAAGTTAAAAATAGAAAAAATTAATAAACATAAAAAGAAAACAATTAAATAAAAATTTAAATTAGTTTTCGGAACGAGTTTCATCGAAATGCGTTATATGAACTTTAGGTCGCAATATTAAAATTAACCGGCTTTTTCGATGTATTTACAACTTCATTTGTTTTTGATCTTTTTCTTTCATTTATTGGCTTTTAGACCCAATTTTATCTTTTTTGGTTTCACATTTAAATGAAATTAATGTGAGTCTTCTCAGTAACTTTGCATGCCAATCTTGTCTTTAAGCGTTTTGCAACTAGTCGAACATCTTTTGGACCATAAAATTTAATGATGATCGTCGTATAAAAAATGATGTTTACTGGTATTTCGGATACAACTTGAAGGGTGCAACATTTTTTCTTGGTTTATTCGACAATACAAAAAAAAAAAATGAAGCAAAACAAAATTCCAGACGATTTCAATGCCAAATTTTTAAACTTTTGTAATTTTTATGAAGAAGCTGCTTAATCTAAACACGAGCTGGGCTTGTTGCAAGTCGTTTAAGGAACGTGAATGTCAACGCATTTTAAGGTTTGAACTTGTTAAAAAACTTGTTTTATAAACCAAAATGAAATGGTTAATAAAATGGTTAATATTTTTTATTTTGTTAAAATTATTTATTTTTAGGTCATCGAACTGATAAAAGTATTTCAATTTGTCATGAATTGTAAAAGATAGACAGATAATACATAAATAGTTGGGGTTTATTTAAAAATTGTTGTTTGTTGAAATTACAGTGAACTAATTTTTTACTTACTTCATCTAAAAATTGTTTCCGGAAGCCTTCTCTGGTGTGCTTGCCACCATCTAATAGAGCACTGCATTCTGATATCAACAACCAACGTAATTTTTCACGTCTCGCTTCCAGTTCCATTGAACTGCAGTTCTTATCTAAATTAAGATTGTAACGATCCATGTATTTGACTACATGCACTTGTTCTTCGCTGATTTCCTCCATATGTGACGGCATATCAGGTGCAGAAAATTGATTGTTTGTTAAATTTATTGTTTGATTTGATTGATTCAAAAAATTTTGTGTTGGCTTCTCTTGTTCTGATAAATTAGTTATAATTTCAAAAGAGTCATCAATGTTAAGTACGGCAGGTGAGGAAGTCGATGTTTCATTGTTATGTAATTTTTCATTAACTGATGGGTTTTCTTCAATTATTTCATGTAAATCACTAATGCTTATATTTAAATTTCTGTTATTATTATTAAGTTTACTATTTTTAGTTTCATGTTCTATCACAATTTGTTGTATACTTTGTTGAGGTCTTTGTTCTGAGGCATTGGTTGGTTGCTCTGATCTTTGATCGTGGTCGCGTGAACCATGCAATTTCTCGAGGTAATGCGCTGCTTGTAGTAGTACATGATTCACAGCGCTAAGTTCCTCTTCGGTTACTGCATTTGGTAAAGAGTTTTGACTGCCATAATTGGATTTATTATTTATTGGTGATTCATTTGTGGAGGTAGAGAAAGGAAGTTCATCCGAAAATGATACTTTTTTAGGTGAACGCGTTGGTGTTGGAGGAACTTCAAGCGATCTTATTGAACACACTGAGCCGCGATGGCTAGAAATTGCACTCAAGCTTGGATATTTAGTCTCGTGATCCATATTTTTTTATATTTGATTTACGCAAATTATGTTAGTTATACACTACCATATTTTTTTTTCAATTAATTATTATTGTTTTTATATGAAGAATTTATGTAAATTAATTTAATTAAGTTAAATAATTATATATAGCTTAATTAAAGTTTGTATTTGGCTTAAATTTTTAATTATTTATCACTGCGTTTAAAAAAAAAAATTATTATATATATGTAGTTAATTCATAGTTTTTATTTGGTATTAATTTTTAATTTATTTTTCACTACGTGTCTATAAAAAATATTTAGAGAATTACATATGTGTATGAACAATAATTTTTTAAAGGAAAATTATTGCTTTTTTATACAAACAATTGATTTAAATTAATTTAAAAAACATAATTAAATTAAGTAATTGTTTGTAATTTCATTATAGTTTGTATTTCATTTTAATTTTTAATTTTTTTATCACTTTGTTTATAATATAAAAATAATATAAACAAATTTAATTATGTTTATAATAAATAAACACAATTTAATTAAATATTTATATTTAGTTTGATTTTAGTTTGTATTTGGTTTTAATTTTTAATTTATTTATCACTTTGTTTAGAAAAAATTTAAATACGTAGTTATATGAAATAATTTTAATTAAATTAATTAAATGAAATTATATATAGTTTAATAGCAGTTTGTATTTGGTTTTAATTTTCGTTTCTAAAAAAATCAAATATATAGTTTAATTATAATAGTTTGTGTTTAGTTTTCATTTTTAATTTATTTATCACGGTGTTTCTTAAAAAACGGTATTGATAAATGTATTCCATTTCAAAACTAAATATATATAAAGAATTACATATTTATATCTATATTAAATTGTTTTAATTAATTAAATTTTAAATTTTATTTTATTTATTTCAACTATCACATTTTTTTTTGAAATATTTTTGGTTTTTAAAATGAAAGTTGTAAAAATAATCATTATTATTATTATTATTATATTAAGTAGTCATAAAGCGATTAGTTATGTATTGGATAAAATTTTAGTATTTATTTCATCACAAAAACACACACACATAATTATCTTTAATCATATTATTTTACTATAATTAATATTTGAACAAATTTAAATTGTTCTAATTTTTATTATTATTTTCGTAGAAATATTTTTGTTGTATATTCTTTTCTTTTTGTTTTTTTGTAATAGACACTATTTTAATAAAGTGGAATTAAATGTTATACTTATTTAATTATACATAATAAAATGTTATTATAATATTATTACTTGTTCATTGATTTGGTTTCATGTGATTTGTCTAATATTCTATTTGAGATAATTATTATATTATTCTACTTATATTTTTTTAGTTTTAGTTTGGAAGTAAACGTTAAGATGATAAACAAGATTATATTGGAAAAGACACAAATTATTTCTCTTAATTACTAATTTATAATTAATTTTTAAATATTAGGTAAGTATTTTTTGTCTCTTCAAGTTTGTCAATAATTTTTTATTGCATATATATTTTGTTAGAAATCACATAATAATAATGTTAATGTGAATTTAGATTTTAAGTAAAATTCTATAATTTTTGTAAATGCTGTATGAATTTTTTAAAACAATAATAAATTAATATAAATATTTTGATAGAAATCTGCTCGTTACTTTTTCTATGTATATTTTTCGTATTTTTATTATAAATACTATTATTTAATAATATTATATATTACGATTATAAATAATCATACGTATCACCATGATTATTATATTATTATTATTATTCATTATTCCTTTGTTAATGTGGTTACATAGTTGATAATATGTATTATAGAGTATTGATGTAAAAGCATAAAACGATTTTGTTCACTATTTAGAATAATATTACTATTTGTGTTTATTGGATCATCACTTTATTTATGAATATTTAACTTAAATTTATATATTATTTTGATATTATTTGGTGTTTATTTATTTTTATAATTTGTATTTTTAAATTATTTATTTTTATATTTATTTTTATTTTTTTATTACTATTTGTTTATAAGTTCTTCGATTCGATTTATATTGTTTATATTGATTTATCAATATTATATAGATAGATATAGATATAGATTATATAGATATAGATTTAGAAGAGTAGGGAACAATAAGAAAACCTATATTTTCAAAAGAAAATAAACTTATTTTTAATTTTTGATTATTTCTTATTGTTCATTACTAAAATTAAAATATATATAGATTTCAAATTTAAAAATATTATTAATTTAGTATATGTATGCCAAAATTGTTTTCATATATTAACTGAATTTCTTTTTTTATGCCTGTATAAATTTATAAAAGTTCTTAAATACATATACACAATTCCTCTATTATTATTATTATATATAATACTACTATTCTATTTCATTCTTCTATTATTTTTCAGTGTGCAGTATACACATCGATTTTTTAACGATAGGAGTGTACCCATATCATATAAAAATTACATTCTCTAGGAATTGTAGAGAAATTGAATTGTACTGAAAATGTTGCACGGAATGTTTTATAAACCAAAGAAAACCTCTAAATCATTTATTAATATAATTAAGTCATATATTTAAAACTTCACTACATAGGTATGATTTGACCGCCTAAGTGATAACATATTAAGACCACAGCAGTATTGAAATAATTTAATACTTAGAAATCAGAGTGCTAGGTTAAAGCACTACAAATACGTAAAATAAGAAAGTTGACTTATAATTTCACATCATCACAAGCACGGAGAAATAATATGTTTAAAAAATATTGTTGGTATTTCTACTATAAGTTGATATTATATATAAAAATATATACATATATACCGCTATATATCCCTAAATACAGAATTTTTAAATATTTTAAGACCTAAAATGTACAGTATTAATATAACTTTTAATTTTCTTTAATTTTTCTTCTATATCTCATCTATATCTGTATGTAAATTTATAACTTTTTATTTTACTTAAAGCATTTAGAATTTTCATATCAACAATAATATGTAAGTGGAATAAGTAGTAATATAAAATATTAC